GCCCCCTTGGGTTGAAAAAAAAAGATGGTTCAGGGGATATTCGTAGATCTTTTATATAATACTTAACAACCCCCCCCCACAAAATCCAAATTTTCTTCCTTTTCGTGGAAATATCAGTAAATTGTCCGGGTCAAGGGGGTTTTTGTTTTTCCTACAACCCCCGGTCCCCGACAATTGCCCCTTGCCGGGGGGGGGGGGGGGGGGAGGGTTAGAGAAGGGAGGGTGGTGGTCCCTCAGCCGGACTGCGCCATCTCACAGTTTGGGACCCCTCAGAGGATGTCCACCTGCTGGCTAGAGCTCCAGTTGCTTTATATCCTCAACAATACTTGGTACTGTGTAGCTCTTTAATTTTAGTCTTTCTGGTAGTTGTGTAATGGTATTACATTGTGATTTTAATTTGCATTTCTCTGATAACTAATGAAGTATCAGCACCTTTTCAGTTGTTTAATGGCCTGTTATTTTATGAAATGGCTTTTTAAGTTTCTTGCCCATTTTTTTGGCAGTTATCTGCCTTTTTACTATTGATTTGAAAGAATTCTTCTTAAAAAATATATTTTTATTAATTTCAGAGACGAAGGGATAGGGAGAGAGAGAGAGAAACTTCAATGATGACAGATAATCATTGATCAGCTGTCTCCTATATGCCCAACACTGGAGACTGAGCCCAAAACCCAGGTATGTGCCCTGGCCAGGAATCGAACTGTGACCTCCTGGTTCATAGGTCAATGCTCAACCACTGTGCCATGCCGGCTGGGCTGAAATAATTCTTTTTTTTTTAAAGGTATTATTTACTACTTTATAGACAATGACACAAAATTTCAGGTTGATTTACTTAAATATAGTTATTGGCAACAGAGAGACTTAAAATACTCAGACCTCTTAACTATTACATTACCGTGATTGCTCTACTTTATTTTTTTCAGTTTTTTTTAATTTAAAGAAAAACTATTTTAAATATAGTAATGTTACATGCAATAAACACCAATTATTCAAGAAAATCATCTTACATATAATATTACATGCAACAAACTTTAGTGTTTCAAGAATAAAATGATTTTAAGTATAATAATATTACCACAACTGTATTAACATAGTATGATATCATAAAAGTTGTAGGAAATATTAAAAATCTATAAATAACAGGATTACTTCTATTATATTCTAGTATACTTCCTCCCCCTCTGGCTCTATTTTTGTTCATCAGTTTATGTTGTTCATTATATTCCACAAATGAGTGAGATCATTTGATATTTATCTTTCTCCAACTTGCTTATTTTCCTTAGCATGATGCTTTTAAAGTCTATTTTTTTCCATCCCTTCACTTTCATCCTGTGTGTGTCTTTTGTTTTGAGGTGGGTCTTTTGTAGCCAGCATATAGTTGGGTCATGTTTTTGTATCCATTCAGCTACCCTACACCTTTTGATTGGAGCATTTAATCCATTTACATTTAGGGTTATTGAGAGGTACTTATTTATAGCCATTTTAATTCGGTATGGCTAGGCTTCTCTCTCTGTTTCTCCTTCTCAGCAATGCCTTACAGCAATCCCTTTAGCATTTCTTGTAATGCTGGCTTGGTGGTGATGAATTCCTTTATCTTTTTTTGTCTGGGAAGCTCTTTATTTGACTGTCTATTTTGAATGATAGCCTTGCTGGATATAGCAATCTTGGTCTCAGATCCTTGCTTTCCATTACCTTAAGTACTTCATGCCATTCCATTCTGGCCTGTAGAATTTCTGATAAGAAATCAGGTGTCAGACTTATGGGAACTCCTTTGTAGGTACCAGTTTTCTTTTCTCTTGCTGCCTTTAAGATTTTCTCTTTGTCTTTAATTTTTGGCATTTTAATTATGATGTGTCTGGGCATGGGTCTGTTTGGGTTCTTCTTGTTTGGGGTTCTCTGTGCCTCCTGAACTTGTGTGACTTTTTCTTTTACCAGGTTAGGGAAGTTTTCTACCATTATTTCTTCAAACACCTTCTCTATTCCTTTCTCTCTTTCTGCCTCTTCTGGCATACCTACTATTCTAATATTGTTACGTTTCACATTGTCCCACAGCTCCCTTAAGCTTTCCTCCTGTTTTTTAATTGTTTTTTCTTTTTGGTTCTCTAATTGAGTGATGTTTTCAACTCTGTCTTCTAATTCACTGATTCAATCCTCAGCGTCCCCTAATCTGCTGTGTATTCCTTCCAATGTGTTCTTTATTTGTGTTATGTCATTCTTTATCTCAGACTATTCTTTTTTCATAGTTACTATATCTTTTTTCATACTGTTGAGCATTTTTAACATCATTACTCTGAACTCTGTTACAGATAAATTTTTTATCTCTGCTTCATTTATCTCTTCTTCTGGAGAATTCACTAGTTCTTTTAATTGGGGGTTGTTTCTTTGTTTCCTCATTTTGGTTGTTGGTTTGGTTTGTGACTATGTTTTAGGTAGATCCTCTATACTTCTCAATCTCTAGTGCAGGACAGTGTTAACCCTTTTTGGTCCAACGTCCAGGCTGACTCAACAGACCAGCCGCTAGGAGCAGGTCCAACGTGGAGCTGAGGTCGACACCGCAAACCGCTGCGATTATATGCATTGTCAGTAAGGTGCTGGGTTGCACGTGGGGAAATGTTTCAAAAGATACCACACTATGAAATGTTTTAAAGAATAAACTCTTTGATTGAACATACTTAATAATATAACCAGTAAATTTTTGGTTTAAACTTTAAAACAAGAACATTAAAAAGTTCAACATTCGATCCCTTCAATTAATTTGGACCAGACTGTTTGAATTCCAAAAATAAAATTGGACCGAAAAGGGTTAAAGGCTGTTTCTGACTAATTGGATCAGGCAAAGACTCAAAGCCTCCAGAGACCGCCTCTGCCTACAGACTAATAAGATTCCAACTTGAATTGTCCCCAGGCAGTCGTCCTCAGGTGTGGCCAGTTTTTTTTCAACATGTGGGGCAGTTGCTCTGCCTGGAGGCTAATTGTTACTTTCAGTCTCTTAAGTGGCCTCAGGGCAAGATGTTTTCCAATAGGGTGTGTTGACTGTCTTCCCCCAAAGGCAAGGTAAATGTCTATGTGGGAAAGATGTCCTCTGCTGTGTGAGAGAATGACTCAGCCCAGGAAACTTGGGGTGTCTGCCTTCTGAGCTTTATCCCCCAAGTCCCCAATCCTGGGTTCTGCTCTCACGGCTCCAGTCTACTTCACCCTCCCTCTGCCAGAGCACAAGGTGGGTGGCTCCACAGGAAATTTTTGTGCGTTGGACCTTGAAGGGGGTGCCCAAACTTTCAGTTGCCACTCCCTGGCAGACAGCACCCCACTGCTTTTTACAGCTAGATGTTATGTGGGTACCCTCCTCAGTTTGGTGCTCTCTGCTGAGGAGCCCAGATTTGGGATTAGATCCCAGATTTCTCAGTGGCACCCCCTCACAGCTGAGATATCTCTCCAGGACTTCAGTTGCCATCTTTGGGTGCCTAGCCAGTCCTTTCGTGCCTTGACCCCTCCTACCAGTCTCTATGCTGTCTTCACCTTCGGTCCTTGGGTATCAGGGTTCTCTCCTGTGAGTTTTCCATTGATTATTCAGGAAGCCTTTCTATATTTCAGTTGTAATTCCCGCTTGTTCCTGGGAGCATGTCCATGCAGCATCCTCCTACTGTGCCACCATTTTTTTTTGGAAAGAATTCTTTTTTTTTTTTTTTTAATATATTTTATTGATTTTTTACAGAGAGGAAGGGAGAGAGAGAGTTAGAAACATTGATGAGAGAGAAACATTGATCAGCTGCCTCCCGCACATCTCCCACCGGGGATGTGCCCGCAACCCAGGCACATGCCCCCGACCAGAATCGAACCTGGGACCCCTCAGTCCGCAGGCCGACGCTCTATCCACTGAGCCAAACCGGTTTCGGCATGGAAAGAATTCTTTATATGAAAGCTTCAGAGCCTCAAATAAGGTCATCTTCTCCAATATCCCTACCTCCTGATAAGTAGGCTACCCAAGAGGATGAACAAGGAGCCTTGAAGGATAGTGGACAAGAGAGAGTCTTTGGGTCTCCCAGAAAACAGGATTAGGTACTGCCAGATGGGTTGACTAGAGAATTTATTGTTTTGCCAAAAGCTAGTCCTTGCTCTTCCTGTACACCAGAATTTAGGATTTGCTGTGGAGTAGACTGCCATGTGTTTCCCATTCCAGGTTTTTATTGCTGTATCCTGTTTATTCTTTACTATGGTCTAACAGGTATATGCCATGTGGAGCTAACGGACATCAACCAGAAATCCCTGATTTGAATCAGGATGAAATCTTAGGGGTCAGATAGTAAATGGATATTTCTATATATGGGAAGAAGGGCATATGTTCATGTGTGTAGCTGAAAAGGATGAACAGCTTACAAGTCTTCCCTCTTGAATTTTTTTGAATAGTTTGAGGAGGATAGGTGTTAGTTTTTCTTTGAATGTTTGGTAAAACTCGCCTGTAAATCCATCTGGTCCAGGACTTTTGTTTGGTGGGAGTTTTTTTCATTACTGCTTCAATTTCATTACTTGTTATCAGCCTATTTAGGTTTTCTGATTACTCCTGATTGAGTTTTGGAAAATTATGTTTCAAGAAATTTGTCCATTTGGCCCAGGTTGTCCAGTTTGTTGGCATGTAGATGTTCATAGCATTTTCTTAATCCTTTTGTATTTTTGTGGTATCAGTTGTTACTTTGCCTCTTTCATTTCTGATTTTATTTATTTGGGTCCTTTCTCCTATTTCTTTATGAGTCTGGCTAAAGGTTCATCAATCTTGTTTATCTTTTTGAAACCAGTTTTTGGTTGTATTAGTATTTTGTATTATTTTTTTAGTCTCTATGTCATTTATTTCCACTCTGATCTTTATTATTTCCTTTCTTCTACTTACTCTGGACTTTTCTTCTTGTTCTCTTTTAATTCTTTTAGTTGTAGGGTTAGAACGTTTACTAGTATTTGAGCTTTTTCTTGTTTCTTGAGGTAGGCCTGTAATGCTATGAACTTCCCTCTCAGGACTGCTTTTACTGTGTCCCATGGATTTTGTGTTGTTGTGTGTTCATTTTCGTTAGTTTCCAGAAAGTTTTTTATTTCTGCCTTGATCTTATCAGTAACCCATTCATTGTTTAATAACTTACTAAATAGCCTCCATGTGTTTGAATGTTTTTTGTGTTTTTTTTTAAAATATATTTTATTGATTTTTTACAGAGAGGAAGGGAGAGAGATAGAGAGCTAGAAACATCGATGAGAAAGAAACATCGATGAGAAAGAAACATCGATGAGAGAGAAACATCGATCAGCTGCCTCCTGCACATCTCCTACTGGGGATGTGCCCGCAACCCAGGTACATGCCCTTGACCGGAATCGAACCTGGGACCCTTCAGTCCGCAGGCCGACGCTCTATCCACTGAGCCAAACCAGTTTTGGCTGTTTGAATGTTTTGAGGTTTTTGTATTGTAGTTGATTTCTAGTTTCATGCTCTTGTGATCTGATAAGATGCTTAATATGATTTCAGTCTTCTTGAACTTGAAAAGAGTTGTTTGTTTCCTAACATTTTGACCAGGATAGTTCTTTGCTGTACCAGACTGTTCCACACATCCCTGGCTCCTGCCCACTAAATTCCAGTAGTGTTCTTCAGTTGGTGTGACCACCCAAAACACCCCCAGTTGAAAACCACTGTTATGTAAAATTTGGAATCTTTAAATTAAGAAAGCAGTCTCGCTTTTTCTATAGTAAGTTGTATAAAAACATTTTCCAGTTGATGGTCTTAATTATTAGTAATCTGTTGATAATGTGCTTTAGCTGAATTCTGCTTGGTTATTTAATTTGTTATATTTAATAAATAAGTGATAAAGGGTTAAGTTGGTCATACATGTTTTTATAATAATTTGTAATGAGAATTCTACTGTCTCCATTTAAAATCAAGGATTCCACCTTAGAAGTTAACTGAAATAAAAATATCCCTGGAAGATTTGCCTTAAAACTCCATATATTCTTGTTATACATTTTAGGGGGAATAAGCATATTAGCATTTATTTTTTTTAGTTTTAGTGATGTTAATTGTTCCTTTTTTGTTTTGTTTTGTTTTTCAGAATTGGTTCCTAGGAAAGACCTTCTTTTAGAAAATGTGCCATATTGTGATACACCAACTCAGAAGCCCTGAATTTCTAGGATAAAATCAAGTCTTTATAATTTTTAATTTCAAAATATATAACTGCAACATAAGTCCTAGAAATGCAGATATTTTTCTCTGAACTGGCATGTTGAAAATTAGTCAGTTAAAGTATAGTTTTATAATTAAATTTCCCATTAAAAAGACATAGCTGAAAACTTCAGGCTATAGCTAAGTATTTCTAAAGAACATTCGATAAGAAGATATTTCATTTTCATTGAAAAAAAAAACTGTACCAAGTGATATAAATGCTTAGGGAAATATATCATATTTATTTTTCTTTGACCTTGATGAGTATTTTGCTCTTATTATAACTATTTGAGAATGCAGTGTTTTGATAAGTTGGTGTGTTTTCCTCCCATGTGAAATGAAACCATTAGATTAAATTATTACGTTAAGTTGATGTTGAGTCCCAAACACATTACATTGGTCAAAATATCACAGTGTGTGACCCTAGCCAGGTAGTTCAGTTGTTTAGAGCATTGTCTTGATACTCCAAGGTTGCAGGTTTGACGCCTGGACAAGGCACATATAATAATTAACCAGTGAATGCAAATATAAGTGGAATAACAAATTAATGTTTCTCTCTCTCTCTCTCCTTTGCTTTCTCTCTGTAAAATCAATAAAAAGTATTTTAAAAATCACAGTGTGTGCCAACTCTCACAGAAAGTGGCCTTTGTTTCCAGAAGCACTGTAATGGTTTCTGTAGCTAACAAGTAATAGTTTCTTTTTACAGATAGAGAATATCTCTGTTCCTAAAAAGACACTTTTTAATCAGTCTTCTGAAAATAGATGATAAAATATCAAAATCACCTAGTATCACTGTGGAATAAAAAAATCCTAACTTTTTAAATAAATAGTGGCCCTTAGTCAAACTATAGCCTTCGCAGAATTAGCTGTACTTAGACCACAGCTAGGCTTTATTGTAAAAATGTAATATATGACTGCATCGTCTTCATTTTTAATCAATAAAACTTAAATGGCTTTTCTACATTTCTCATCCCTGAAGAGATTGGCAGTATTATAAAGTAGTTTAGCATTCTACCATTTGGTGGTGGTAACTATAAAATTGTATTTAATATTATTTTTGTTTCTCTTTTATGAGTATCTTTACCATTTTGTTTTATTCAGTGAACAGTGTGTTTTCTCCCATTCACTGATTGACTCTCCCATTCAATGATAACACAGGATTTTACAAGATTCTCAATGCTTTGTTGGCAAAACATATTGGTATATCCATACTAGATATAAAATTTCATACTTAATCCCTGGCCAGTGAGGCTCAGTTGGTTGAATGTCATCCTGTGCACCAGAAGGTTGCTGGTTCGATTCCCAGTCAAGGGCACATGCCCAGGTTGCAGGCTCAATCCCCGGTAGGGGTGTGTAGGAGGCAGCTGATGGATGTTGTGTTCTCATAGTGATGTCTCTCTCTCTCTTTCTCTCTTTCTCTTTCCCTCTCTTTCCCCATCCTTCTCCCCCTTCCTCTCCCTCTGAAAATCATTAAACTAAAAAAAAAATTCATACTTAAAAATAATTTTAGGAGATCAGAACATTATCAAAATTATTTAGATGTAGAACACTTAAACCAGAGACTACCCTTAATGCTTCCTAATACTTTTTAGGAAATTAGTAGTCTGTGGAATGGATTATACATGTCAAAAGGTTTGCTACTTCCCATGTGTATTATTGTATATATGGAAATTATACCTATATAAAAATTAAATATACTTGTGTTCTGGATACTAATCCTGTGTTGGTTATCTGTGATGTAAATGTCTTCTTCCAATATGTGACTCATCTTTTAACTCTGTTTATGATAAACCTGAAGCATAGGAGTTTATTTTAGTGTATCCATTTTTTAAAATACTTTCCTTTATTAATTTTGCTTTTGTATCTTTTTAAGAAATTCTTCTCTACTCCAAAGTCATAAACATGTTGTAATACATTTTCCTCTGAATGATGAAGTTTTGCTTTTTATGTTCCAGCCTGTATGCCATCTAGAATTTATTTTTGTTTATGATATGAAGGAGGAATCTATATCATTTTTTATGGCAAAACAATTGGTCTCAGCATCATTTATTGAATAGACCATCCTTTTTCTGATTACATATAAAGCAATTTTTATCATATCCCAAGTCACTATACAGTTAGTTGACCCTTGAACAGCATGGATTCGAATGGCACAGGTCCACTTATAAGTGACTTTTTTCAGTAAGTACCTATAGAGTTTTTGATTCACTGTCAGGAATTTGTGGATGTGGAGAGCTGACTGTATGCATTGATCTGCACCATTTTATATAGGGGACTTAAGCATATATGGATTTTAGTATCTGCTGGGGAAGGGAGGTCCTAGAACCAATTCCCTGCATATACCAAGGGACAACTTAAGTTTTTAAGGAGTGAAAAACTATGCATGGATTTTTTATTGCACAGGGGTTCGGCACACCTTACCCCTGCATTCAAGGGTCAACTGTATGTTGGGATTACTCTAACCCTCTTAGCTAGTCAAGGACTTTACTCCTATAATATTACTCTCGCCGAAACCGGTTTGGCTCAGTGGATAGAGCGTCGGCCTGCGGACTGAAGGGTCCCAGGTTCGATTCCGGTCAAGGGCATGTACCTTGGTTGCGGGCACATCCCCGGTGGGAGGTGTGCAGGAGGCAGCTGATTGATGTTTCTAACTCTCTGTCTCTCTCCTTTCCTCTCTGTAAAAAATTAATAAAATATATTTTAAAAAAAATATTACTCTTTACTACCAAATATTTTTCCCCTCTCTCCACTAGATTATCTTTTCAACAGCATTCAACATTCTGAAATATTTCCCATCTTTAAAGATAAGCTGTCTTGAAACCCCTCCTGTCTTCAAGCTTCAGCACCATTTATCATCCAGTCGACAGTCCACATCAGCCCAGGGATGTTTGTAGAACTATTTGACTCACAACCATTCCTGCACCCCCCTCAGTCTGAGGATGTATTCTTTTTAAGGTGATTGAGAAGCGGCACTGGTTCACCCCAGAGAGTTGAATGCATCTGTAGGCACCAGGGCACAGAACTGTGTGCAGGCTTTCCTTGTGTGGGGGCTGCGGCCTGTGCCTCCTGTGACAAGGCCTCCTAGTCTCCCGGTGCCCTGCGCTCCCCACACAGCTGTCCCTCTCTGCCTTTCCCAGCACTAATGACTCTTGGTTTCCCTCTAGCGCTAGTGTCTTAATTCACTTTCCTCCCTAAACGCATTATTTGCATATCAAATTCTGTAAATGTTTTGTAAACCTATTACCTCACTCTTGGTAATACAATACTGATAGTCTTTACAACATTTTTCTTATTGTTAGCAATAATAAATGTGAACTGTTTAAAGAAAAAAAAAGATTTAATCCCAGTCACTTCTCTGAAATCCTTGTCCCAGTTACTAGTGACCTCCACTTGTTAAATGCAGAGGTCAATTCTCAGTCTTATTTTATGCATCCTCTCAGTAGCACTTGGCTTAAGTGATTGTTCCCCCTTTTAATGGAGACCTAGACACTAAGTTATTGTAAACCTACACAAGTAGGATATAGCTATGAACCAAAGTAACAAAAATGTCTACCTTATCTTCTGTTAATCATTTTAGATCCACTCTCAGTCCTTCTTGACCCTGTTCTTAGCCTTCCCTGGAAAGACTGGCCTGTGTGAAGCAGTTCCAGGACCAATGGGGGGACCTGGGCAGAGATCAAAAGGAAGGGGGATATGTTCTTAAGCCATAAACTTAAAAACATGTAATGAGGAACTAAAACTTGTGGAACAGCACTTCTTTCCTGGCCTTGGAGCACAGAAACTGCTAAGGAAATTAAAGCAAGTTGACACAGCTCTTAAATCCTCACTACCTCTCCCCTCCCCCCCACCAATTTAGAAGCATAGGAAGGAGTTATTACACCACCCAAGGAGATATGTCAAAGGAACAAAACAGCAGAATGGAGCCTCTTCATGGCACCACTGGACCTCAGCAGAAATTCCCAGGAGTGGGATGCCCTGACTGGGCTCCAACATCAAACATTAAAAGATCTCAGAAGAGATCAGAGACTAGGTCATCAGCAGTCTTCCTCGGCCCAGCAGGAAGTCTTCCTGCCCCATGCCCTTCAGGGTACAGAAAAAAAGTGGGCAGAAAAGCAACTCCTATATCTCAAACTATCTGGAAAGAAATGCAAGTCCTTGATGATAAGAGAATATATAATAGAATAAGGGGGGAAAGGTGTTTTGTATACTGAAGAGAAATTTCAAAATATATGAAGCCAGTTTATAGAAGAAGCTCAAAGAATAGATAAACCACGAATGAGGTGAAAAGGCAGGAAACAAAATATACAAGGATCATAATAGACACAACAAAAGGAATTAGCACAAAAGAAAAATTTGAGATACAGAAAAAGCAACAGAAAGAGATCACGATGACTAAAGTAATTACAAGGTAACATATGGAAGACGGAGACTATTCAACAAAAAGATAATCATGTTTCTGGAATGGAAAGCCTAACAGAGACAGAAAATAACTCAGTGGACCACTTAAAATAACATTTCCCCGGGTATAAAAATCTACCTGAAAATGCAAACACCCTCCTGTAATCAGGAGAATCTAATACAGAATGATGAATATTAACACATGCTGATAGTTAATTTATTGAAACTGAGGAAAAGAGGATTCTTCAGACAAATTGTCACCTACCAGTGTGAGGCCGGGTTGGGGGGCACATCTGGCCTTGTTTCTTATATAACAACTAGAGGCCCGGTGCATGAAATTCATGCACTGGTAGGGTCCCTAGGCCTGGCTGGTGATCAAGGCCAATCGGGGCCTTCTGGCTGCAGGCCTCCCTTCCCCAGCTTCCAGCTGCTGGCCGGGGCCCTCCTTTGTTCCACGCCTCCCCCTGGTGGTCAGCACACATCATAGCAAGCGATAGAACTCCCAGTCTCCCAATCAAACTCCCATGGGGACACTTTGCATATTAACTATATATATATATATAAATGCCAGAAAAAAGTAAGTCTAGAGCAGTGGTCGGCAAACTCATTAGTCAACAGAGCCAAATATCAACAGTACAACAACTGAAATTTCTTTTGAGAGCCAAATTTTTTAAACAAACTATATAGGTAGGTACATTGTTATTAACTTAATTAGGGTACTCCTAAGGCTTAGGAAGAGCCACACTCAAGGGGCCAAAGAGCTGCATGTGGCTCACGAGCCGCAGTTTGCCGACCACGGGTCTAGAGGATTTTTTGAGAAAAGTATGTGTTGAGAATATAACCTGCCAAGCTGTTATTTCAAAGATAAAGGCAACAAAAAGACATTCTCTAGCATGAAATTTCTTGGACTGTAGCATCCTCTCTGAGAAAATGGAGTGTGAAACCTCACTTAAAGAAATGCCATAACAAAAAGATGATACAACCAGGGAAATTATGTAATAGTCACCAAGATTATAACCTTAAAATGCACGCACACTAAAATCAATGAAAATCAAAGGTAAAAGCAGGAAGTGGAAGACAAAGCTCATCTTTCAGAGCAGGAAGTGAATCCACTTTGTCCTAAAATTAATATACGTAGGTAAAAACAATAAAAACCTCTAATCTCTCTAAGCTTTTTTTTTAACCTTAGATCTTTTCCTTGACAATAACAAAAAAATAAACCTGAAATAATGGTGATCTTCAGGTAATTTTTTAAGAATAAGAGAAATTCTCAAAAGATTAAGAAAAAAGGTTATAAATAAACATTAAAAGCTTAGAAAAGTAAAAAAGGGAGGAGGAAAATGAAGGGTATTTCTTTTACTGGCTCTATCCTGAAAGGTTGCCTCAAGCTGGTAGTGTCCCTCAAAGTTTATCTCATGACCTCTGCACAGTTCTTTATTTCCACTTTGTGAAGGAGCTGCCCTCCCCTCCTTAGGTCTGGGGTAGCAACAACTCATTTGCTACTAGCCATGTGGATTCCCCTATACCAGTGGTCGGCAAACTGCGGCTCGCGAGCCACATGCGGCTCTTTGGCCCCTTGAGTGATGCCAGCCCTTTCTGCGAGCACGCATGCCTCCGTACCTCTTCACTTTACTTCTGCACCTCCTGAGTCTCAGTGTGCTTTTCTCTTTCCTTCTAGTTGTAGAATTTCCACTCAGCCAGCCTTCCTGTGGTTCTGGGTGATGTCTGTTTTGTCTTTAGTCGTAGTTTTGAAGTGGTTGTGCGAGGCAGCAATTTCAGGTGTTTACCTATGATGCCATCTTGGTTTCTCTCCAAGCAATCTACTTTTAAAATGGGCAGAGAATCTGAATAGACATTTTCCAAAGAGGACATACAGATGGCCAACAGACATGCAAAGATGCTCAACATCAGTAATCGTCATGGAAATGCAAATCAAAACCACAATGAGATATCACCTCTCACCTGTTAGTATGTCTGTTATCAAAAAGATAAACGACAAGTGTTAGAGAAGATATGGGAAAAAGGGACCCTGTGCACTATTGGTGGTAATGTAAATTGGTTGAGCCACCATGGAAAACAGTGTGGAGATTCCTCAAAAAAAATTAAAAATAAAAGTACCTTATGGCCCAGTGATTCCACTTCTGGGTATTTATCCGAAAAGATATATGTATCCCCTGTGTTCACTGCAGCATTGTTTACAATAGCCAAGATTTGGAAGCAACCTAAGTGTCCATCAGTAGATGAATAGATAAAGAAAATGTGATTACACACACACACACACACACACACACACACACACAGTGGAATATTATTCAGCCATAAAAAAGAAAATTTTGCCATTTGCAACAACATGGGTGGAACTTAAGGGCATTATTCTAAGTGAAATAAGTAAGACAGAGACAAGTACTGGATGATCTCATATGTGGAATCTAAAAAGAAAACAAAAAACCTGAACTTGGATAATAAAGACCATTATAAACTGATGAACAAAAAGATAGATACAGCGGCAGAGAAGCATTGAACAGACTG